CCCCAAAAAAATAATAATTATAACAAACCTGCTGGGGACATGGCTCAGCAGCACAACACCTGCCTGACAATTGTAAGGTCCTGAGTTCGATTCCTGGTACCAAAAATAAACAAATAAATAAAATAATAATCAAGGTCCACCATTTACTCTTAAATAAAGATTTCTTAGGGGTCTCAAATAGCATCAATCTCAAAGGCACAGTTGATGAATCTAAAATTAGGCTATCTACTCATCAGGGCCTGACAGGTGAGCAAAAAATCAAGCCCCCAACTAGGAGAAGACATGACATGGGAAATTCATGTCACTGACACGGAGTGGCTGTGGAGGATACATAGAGAACTACCATGATGAGGAAAGGGTGAACAACGGGATTGTTAAAAATATACGAATAAGATATTTGCTGTAAAGAGACCTAAGTAGCCAGTATAGGTTACGGGGTGAGGCTCGACCTCACTAAAACTTGGGGAGTCACACAGTGAAACGACACTAAGGCACTGTTCCACTCCACACCGACATCATGCATTACTGACATGGTTGTGGAGAAACAGGAATGGGGACAAAGTGTCCCTGCTGACAGAGGGTCCCTGACTCATAAGTTAGAGAAGCCCCGGCGTTTCAGTGTGTCCCAGGGTGGTCTGTCACTGTCCTGGCACCCGAGTGCACACACAGCGAAGCCGGTGACCAGGCACAGCTGTCACTTACTCAGCCTGTCACTGACCAAATGTGGCTCTGCAGAGCCTGGCTGTGTCCCGTGCACTCTCTGCAGTCCCCGGCCACGCGTGTCAGGGCACGGCACGCTCCCGCCTGGCTGTCTCAGTTGTGTCTTTGCTTCCAGAGCAGTGGGGAGCAGCTGGGCCCCTTCTCCATCTACGTCACACATGGCCCAAAGGGGACTCAGAAATGGCTGTGACCAGGGAGCGGCTTGGGAGGACAGTCCCCACGCAGGTGGCTGAGCTGGTGAAAGAGCCCACAGCTGCTCTCACAGTCTGGCAGTCCCCTGGGCTTCAACGATCATGGCAGTCCGCCTGTACTGGGGAGCAGGTCCCTGCTCTGTCAGGACATGACAGCCCCAAACCTCCCCCAACCCACCTTGTCTTAATCTGCCCTGGACAAGGACACTGGGAGTTATGCTGGTGACCGTAGGACCACGGCCAAGGACACAGCACACCCAGTGACTGACCTGACCACTGGTACGTAGACATCTACAGTCAGGGAAAGGCAGTGGCTGGAGACGGGGGAGCACATGGTGGCCGGGGGTGGGGCCCAGCAGTCCTGGAGGGGAGCAGCGCTGAGAGCATGGGCAGAACCTGGCCCACTAACCGGGCAGTAGGGGCAGGGTTGGACAGAAGTGGGCACCAGAGATGGGTGGGGGCTACAGGCCCAGGTGAAGCAAGCCAGGCCCCCGGAACCCCAGCACTGAGTAGCAGGGAAAGATGGAAAGACAGGCGCTCAAACCACAGCACCCTATGGGCCTAGGTCTGCAGGCCCAAGCCCCGACCCTGCTCCCTGTGTGGGTTCCGGGGGTGCCCTTCCTGCCCGCCACCTCCAGAGGCCGTTGGAGCGCTCTGTTTGTGCACGTGTCACGCCAGCCCTGCCTCCGTCATCACATGGCTGCCCCTTCCCCGTGTGCTGGTGTCGCCTCGTCCTTCTGCCTCGTCCTTCCTGCGTCTGTCACCACCTCCGTCTTCCTCTGCAACGCGCGTTAGATTGGGGCTAAGTGGACCTCACTGTAGTTTGATCACTCAGTCCCCCTGTTTCTCAATGCAGTCTCATCCTGAGGCCCCCGAAGGCCAGGAGCATGCAGAGACCCCTTGGGGGCCCCGCTCCTGGGCAGGTAAGAAGCCTGAGGACGGTGCGCAGCAGTGACTCACCCCTGGCCCCGGGGCGCGGCACGGCTCTTGAGCTGTCAGGCCTGCACGTTCCCTTGTGACTCAGGACGGCCCCCACTGCCCGTCAGGGCCAGCGCCAGCGCCAGGCCGAGGGAGAGGCCCGGTCTTCAGGTGTCTGGGCCTCAGCTGGGCGGGCCGGGCCGGGGCCCCTCTGCTGTGCAGCTGTCCACAGTGACATCCCCACTTATCTCTGTCCCTGGGCGTTTCTGGAATCCTGGCTGATGCAACTGTCCCAACCCAGAGTACCTGGTGGCCTCCAGAGTGGCTGAAGTCACCGGGAACCCGGCAGTTTCAAGCCCCTCCCCGGGTGTCTGAGCCACTTCCAGGCAGGAGATTCAGGCCAGCCAGGGGACCCTTTGTGCATGGATGGCCAGGTCTGCATGGTGCCCACCCCTCTGCCCCAGACCGAGGGTCCTGGTGGCCACCGTGTTTGGGAGTGGCTGCACCAGGGTTCTGATTCAAGCTGGCCCGAAGGCCCATCTGGGAGGCAAGGCGAGAGCGTGCAGGTGGAGGCCACGCCCAGGCAGCTGTGGGTGGGCACAGCTGGTCAGCAGGGCCCTGGGAGGTGTCATCTGCCTCCTCACTTCTTCCCGTGCAGGAGCCAAGAGTCAGCATTAGGAAGGCAGTGAAGCAGGTCAGGCAGGCACTCCTCCGTCTGGAATACCCTTCTGACCCTCACTCCTGTGGTGAACTCCTACTCATCCCTCTAGACCCAGTCAAATTACATCCTGTTTTGCCAGTTTAAATTATATTGCCACACTGTCGAGGCTTGTCTGTCCCTACCTGGCTCTGGGCTCTGAGGTCAGGGCACTGCCTGGTGTCTGGAGACCCCAGCATCTGGGCCAGATTGCCCACTGCTTGAATCTGACAGGGTGGCCCTGTCTGTCCTCAGACCGAAGCACATGAGGCCAGGCCAGCAGGGCAGGATTCCCAGGACTTTGCACTGCACCTGGCTGGGCGACTCAGGCTGAGGGGAGAGGCTGGCCTTGGAGCACCTGCTCATGCAGGTCAGCTGCCCACGGTGGCCACCTGCTAGGGTGGGGTCTGTGGCCTGGTGACAGGCGTCTTCCAAGAGGGCCTGGGCCTCCCAAGGCAAGCGGGTGGGCTCTGCTGCCCAGCCCCCTCCGAGGGACGTGCCAGGGCCGCCTGTGTCTGCAGCCCCGGGCCAGCCCAGAGCCCATGCGTCAACACCAGCGCTCCTAGCCCTGCCCCCGCCAGCCTCAGCTGCGCCCCTATCAGCGGGGGACCTGGTTCAGGCGCCTTGGCTGCCAGGGCTGCTGCCCCCACCCGGCAGGTGATTGGCGTCTCTCCCCTGAACCCAAGCACCTGGTTGAATGCTGCATTGCCACCTCCCAGAGCACTGTGTGACAGGCGGGGAAACTGAGGCACCAGCTGGAGGTGTCGGACTCGGATCACAGCACTCGACACTGCCTTTGTCTCCAGGCCCTGCAGCCTGGGCTCTCTGGGACAGGTCTGCCCGTGGCCACAGGGCCCGTGGGTTTGCAGGGAGAGCAGAGGGGGTTCCCCAGAGCAGGCTCCCAGGAGCTCCCCACAGTGACTTCCTGTCCCATGAAAACCCAGCCCGTGTCCACCGTCCTGGAGAAAGTGGGGCCGGGACAGCATAGGCGTGGCTCTTCCTCCCTGCCCTCCACGGCCACGGCCACGGAAGGAGCAGCGGCCTGACGCGCCTGAGGGCCCTGGGCCGCAGTGGAGGGCTGACTGGGCACAGGCCCGGGGTTGCGGGTGGGTTGCGCCAGTTCGCAGTGACAGCCGCCTGCCTCCCCCAGCCACTCAGCGGGGGGCAGCTCCAAGGACACCCTGCGAGAGGCTCAGTCTCCTGCACACGCCGTGTGCCCTGCCTGGGGCCAGGCCTGGGTGGGCAGGGGCACCTGTACCCAAGGCGTGTGGCCAGGGAGGACCTCAGAGAGTCCTGGGAACCCACCTTCCTGGGGGCGAGTCAGCTCCCAGCCCCCATCAGCTGCATTTCGGGGATGAGGGGCACTGAGACCTGAGTCCTGGGCTGCAGCGGGAGGGGCAACGTCTGCAGGAGTCTTCAGTGTGGGGCCTGTTTCCTCCCCGGAAGTCAGGTTTAATTATCCCAGCTCGTCTAGACCCAGACGTGCAATGGGAAGGCAATCTCCAGCGCAGAGTGTGGACCCCTGTTTATAGCAGCTCAACTCATTGCAGTTAATTCTTGGAAACAGCCTCTATGTCCATCAACAGATGAATGGATAAAGAAAACGTATTTACACACAGCGGAGTACTACTCTGCCATAAAGAAGGATAAACTGGTGTCATTTGTAGGAAAATGGATGCCCCTGGGGACCATAATACTAAGTGAAATAAATCAGACACAGAAGGTTAAATATCATGCAGTTTCTCTTATATGAGAGGCCCAAAGTATAAATAAATTAAAGAACAAAATAAAAGACAGATAATAGGAAACAGGGAGACAGATCTTTTTACAAAAGAGAGAAAAGGACCAAGAGACAGAGGGGAAGGGGAAGAGAGTATGAAAAGTATTCAACTGTGTTACACACACGCACCAACCCCACGCAAGGCCATCACTGCACTGCAAACGCGGACCAATCAAAATAAAAGATAAAATAAATTAATATAAAACCAGTTCTTATTTAAAAAAGAGATACAGTGTTTATTGAAAAAAAGAAAAGAAAAACCTAACTTGGAGAAGCTGTACGGCCTGTCCCTGTTGCGTGTGGCGGGAGAGACACATAGGCAGGGTCCGGGCGGGGTAGGCAGCGGGCGCCGGCGCGGGGGACCCTGTGCTCCGCCGGGGGCCAGGAGGGTGCTGAGAGCCTGCGTCCGCACGGTGAGGTCTCCAGCCGGGGATTCTTTCCTGTGTTATTAAAATGCATTGAATAAACGCATTTCGTGCATTTATTAAAATGCGGTTAATAGAAAACGGTTTTGCTGATAAAAAGCAAACAAGAGAAAGAATTTCTGCCTCCCGCGTGTAGGAGACTGACCTAGCTGGCTGCGGGTGACGCGGGGTTCTTCGGTGTCTCTCGGCCTTGCACCTGGCATTGCGCGGGTGGGGCGGGAGGCGGCGCTGTTCTCGTCCACCACTCCTCCCACCCCCACCCCGCCTCCCCGCACAGATGAGTCTGCGGGAGCTTTACAATCCCGGCACAGACGCAGGCGGAGCCAGAGCCCGGGAGGGGCCCCCTCCCCAAACAAACACTGGGCAGGGGAGCGGCTGGGCCGGTGGGTATAAAGGGACCGCCGGGGGCGGCCGGCGCATCCGGTGCCAGGCTTCCCCTAAGTGCACACGTCGTCATGGAGACCAGAGGGTTCTGGCTGCTGCTGCTGGTCGTGGCCTTGGGGTCCTCGGGCTGGGCTGCCGAGTACCTGGGGCTGTGTGAGTATCGCCGACTGCCAGGCGCAGGGTGGGGACACAGGCCCCGGGAGAGGGGACTCCCAGGGGCTGAGCCGGCCAGTGTAACCGTTAGCTTTTATCACACGCACGGATTTGCTTGCAATAACCCAGGACCACGGGGCTTACTGTCCCCATTTCACAGGCAGGAAACTGAGGCATAGAGGAAATTTCCGTACCTAAAAAAAGCAGCCTCTCTGGCCAGTGTGGAATCAGGGCTGGACCCCAGGCTGGCCGCCCCCTTGCTATCTTTGCGGAGATTTCTGGATGGGGCAGGTCATCACTCAGGAAAGGAGAGGGGAGCGGTCCCGACACGCACACACAGAGGCTGTGCCTCCCAGCTCCAGGTAGGCTGTGCCTTTTGCTCTGGGACCTACAGAGCAGGGAGGGCAGCCTTCCCAGACCCAGCCTCGGACCCGGGAGCTGGGCGGCCCCTGCTGCCCAGGTCACCAGGCACAGCGGAAGGCCGGGGCAGGCAGAGCCGGGAGCCAGGCAGGAAGGGATCCGTGTGGCCGGACTAGGCCACAGCGGGAGAGGCTGGGGGGCTTCTGGGTTTCTGTTTTCTGTGGGAAAATGCAGCTGGTTAATGGGGCAGGTGAGCTGTGCCGTGTGTGTTAACACACGCACACACGCACAAGCGCACACACGCACACACGCACACGCGTACACACGCAGGCCTGTGTGAACAGCGGGCGTGGGCGGCACGGGGGACCAGGACACACAGCCACAGTCTGCCGGCACCCAGGGTTCCTCCAGCGGTTTAGATCTCACAGCACACATTTCGTTTTTAAGAAAAGGGGAAAGTTTTATTGATAGAACCAGGAAGATGGCTCTGTTCTGGGTTCGGGGGACCCCGAGTCCCACAGGCTCCGTCAGTGGGAGGGCACCCAGGCCCAGCTGAGAGGAACGTGCGCCAGACACCTGTGCAGGTGGCCGGGTTCCTGGGTCCCCGCGGGAAGCCCACCCTCGGGGCAGGGGGTGCGGCCACCCAGAGTGGGGTGGGCCTGGGGTGGGAGGCGGTGGGGTACGAGTGCAGCACACAGCCCCGAGCAGGAAGGGCACCGGCAGCTGACCAGATGTGGTTTGTGCAGCGGAGAGTCAATGCAAGGTCCCAGCCAAGGAGCGGGTGGACTGCGGCTACCCCCAGGTCACCCAGGAGCAGTGCCACAACCGGGGCTGCTGCTTTGACTCCAGCATCCGGAACGTGCCCTGGTGCTTCAAGCCTCTGCAGGAGACAGGTGAGGCCGGTGGCAGTGCGCGGAGTCCTGGGGCACGCGGAGGTGCGCACTGCAGGTCCCCAGAAAGCCACCAGGCCCTGGCCTCGGCAGGACTCCCGGCGCCGCGCCTACCTCCCTCGTGAGGTCTCAGGCCAGGGGCGCTGTAAGACAGAAAAGGGAGCTGTTCACAGCGAAGGCTCCGTGCAGAAGGCACGCGTTTCAAAGCTGCCCTGGAGAGAGGGGAAGTGGGTGGGCTTGCAGAGCCCGGCTGACGGCTGGGGCCGACTAGCAAACCGGCCACCCAGAGCCCCTTGCGTCTGTGAGGTGCTCACAGCAGACAGCAGCCGGGTGGCTTGCGGGGTGTGGTGCAGGGGACTCCCGGGGACCCTCCCTGGGAGGGGCCGAGCGCAGACAGCAGGTGGACGGCTGTCCTGGCTCATCTGGGCCCACCCTGTACTGGGCGTAGCTGTCTGCTATCAGCCACCTGGCATGCCCAGGTGCCAGTGCACCTTCTAGGAAGGACACACCTGCCCCAAGCACCTTCCTGGAATGGACATCCAAAGGGGGCAGCTGTGCCCTTTGTCCTGGAGCAGCAGGGGGGCCCATGTCCCAGCTGCTCTGGCCCCAACCAAAGATGGAGCCCCCCCCCAGGGCTTCCTCTTCCACCAGTGGAGTCGGACGAGGGCCCCCGGGTCTGGAGCCAAGGGGGCACTGCCCAGGGCTCTTCCCTCTGCCCTGCACCCAGCCCCCCAAGGGCATCTCCCCTGTCATCTTCCAGGCCCTCCCAGGTCCACTCGTCCCTGGCACGGGGGGTGGGTCCTGGGGAAGCCGGCTGCTGGGTTGGAGACGGCAGCTCACCAAACCTCTGCTTTGTTCCAGAATGCACGTTTTGAAGCTCGCCTGCCGCCGCGCCACAAGGTCCCCCGCTCCAGGTGGCTGAGAGCCCCCCACCCCTGCTCCCGGCCAGCATGCTGCTGAGTTGGGCTAAAGTCAGGGCCTAGCGTCCCAAAGAATAAAGATCCTGTGTCAGCATGAGGACACTTCTTCACGCCGGAAGCCCACTGCCGCCATTCTTTAGCTTACCGTGTGCTCTCACGGGTGGGGGTGGGGGTGTCAAACAGACCCCAAGGAGCCCCAGCAGGTGCAAGACCCAGCCACGTGACAAGGAAGGCCTGCAACCCTCCGTGTGACCCATCCCCCCTTCTGAGAGCCGAGAAGAACTATCCCACAGCTAAGTTTTAACGATCACGAAGAGCCGGGTGTGGTGGTGCACACCTGCGATCTAGCACGCTGGGAGGCTGAGGCAGGAGGATCAAAAGTTTGAGCCCAGCCTGAGCAATTTAGCCAGGCCTTGTCTCAAAATATAAAAAGGGTTGGGGATGTAGCGCAGAGTGAAGGCCCCGGGTTCAATGCCCAGTGCTACGAAAACAACAAGAAGCTAGTACCGTGTATTGTGGTGACGCTATCAAACCAAGAGACCCCTTCCAGGCTGGCGCTGTTTGTATTTGCTTCTTAAGCCTGACACCGAGGCGCTTTGGGGCGCCTTTCACTGTGGCTACAGCTGGCGCCACTGGAACAGATGCGCGGGGAGCCCGGGAGCTCCTCTCACAGCCCCCCAGTGCCCAAGCCACCCCACTTCCAGGACGGCCCCGCCCCCCACACCCAGGTCTCTCTCGGGCTTCTGCCCATGGTGCCAGCTGGCTGAGTGGCACCCTGCTCCCACTGGGACCCCTTAGTCACACCCCCCACACGGCCGCAGGGGTGGGGTCCCTGGTTTCCTCCACTGGGAAAGAGACGAGAGACACTGCCTCCACAGGGCAGCCAGCCTTGGAGCCCGGAGCTTTGCCATCCTTGTCTGGCAGCTGAGGGGACAGTATCTCTTGAGGTGATGTGTCCAAAGGTCCTGGCTCAGAGGGACCCAGTCTGGGAATCTGGAGCCGGGTCCAGGCCAGTGCCCAGCAGCGCCACCTGCTGATCTGGAGTGACCCTCAGGTGCACCCGGGACCCGGGCTATGCCGAGGGAGCCCAGCTTCCTTGGGGAGAGACCCTGCCGCCCCCCTGCCAGCCTGGGCCGCCCCTCTGCGTCCCTTGCAGGGCGACCATGCCCAGCCTGTGAGGCGTGGCCTCATCCTGCCAGAGGAGGGAGTCAGTGTCCCTGGCCACAGGCCACTGTGGTGGCCTTCGCCTTGTGCCAGGGTAGACAGCTGAGATCTCCCTCCCACACCCTGGTCATGGAGAACTGCCATGGCCACTGCGCCAGGGACCCCAGAAGCCTCCTGGCTTGCACCTGCCACCCCCGTCACACCCCCTCCCTGAGGACTGTAAACGCACTGTACCCCATCCCTGTCTGCTAGAGCAGGGTCACCAGGCACGGGTCCACCCCAGACCACTCCTTCAGCCTGGGGTGTGGCTCCGTCCCTCCAGCCCTGCGGCCCCAGTTTCGATGGAGCAGTGCTTTGCACCCCTTCCAGAAGCTTCTCCCGCCCTCCTGCTGCCCTGGCTACGCAGGGTGGAGCTGCCTCCCGCCAGGAAGTGACACAAGGGCCTGTCCAGCGTGAGGGTGCGCCGGGTGCTGAGGTGTTTCCGGGTGGCTGAGGGCAGCCCCTGGGGTTCCCACTCGGAAGCTCAGCCCCAGGGTGGTGCTGTGGAGAGGGGTCACGGGGTCGTCAGGTTTGGTGGGGATCAGCACGAGAAGGAAGGGAGCTCCTGGAAGCTGCTGGTTGGGCAGAGCTGGCGACCCAAGAGCCCTGCTTCCTGCCCACCACACGAGCCTGGTGTTGCCCTCCAGTGCGAAGCCTCCCTTGTGCTCTCGGCCCCCAGAAATGGAGCTGATAAATCTGTTTTAAGCGCCCAGCCTTGGGTATTCTGCTAAATGGCAGGAAACTGACAAGGGGGTACATGTTCCCCAAGGTGACCATGCCCGAGGCCAGAGAGCAAGTCCCCAGCTGGGGCCCTGTGACACCCTCCAGCACCCTGTCACCCCCTCCACTGGGAGGAGACCCCTGCCACCCCTCCTTGCTCCCCAGCCATTCTCCCGGCCCTGCCCCAGCCCACCTGGGGCCAGGGATGCACTAAGGCATCGTGAAGCAGGGGCTTGGGTGCCCCAGGTGGACCCTGTGTGCTGACTCCTGGCCCTGGTGGAGGGTGTGCAGTCCCTGCTGTTTACTAGGCCATCGAGGTGCTGCCGACAGCCCCGAGGGGTCTCATTGCATTGCTGCATTGCCCGGGTTGGACTCAAACTTTCTTTTTTTGTTGTTTTTTTTTTTTCCGGTACCGGGAATTGAACTCACGACCTTGTGCTTGCCAGGCAGGCACTGTGCTACTGAGCTAAATCCCCAGCCCCGGGCTCAAACTTTCAATCCTCCTACACAGCCTCCCAGAGTTCTGGGATTGCAGGTGTGCACCATGACACCAGGCTCCCTCGTGTAGAAATGAAGTTTATTTTTATCACCACTGGACCTCTTTCCCTTGGAGCCTGGGAAGCAAATCGCCTCTGGTCACTGCCAGATGCAGGGGCCCAAACCCCGCTTGTCTATTGGGAATGGACAGCGCACGCGGGGCGCCTTCTCTCTCGTGTTGTCTTGGGTTGGGGAATGGGGATGTCCTCGGCTCTTCCAGGGGAGTCACCTGGGGTGTCTGCCTCTACCTCCTGTTGGGAACTTGGGGTGCTTCCTGCCTCCCTCTGGACCCCAAGCAGGGTGGTGAGGCTCGAGCCCCCAGAAGGGGTGTGTGTTAGGAGAAAGAGAACAGCAGCCCCCAGCACCCCTGTAGTGGCTGTCTTATGCTCATAAGGGCTCCCAGGGTGCCCAGGGTCGGGGTGGTGAGCAGACCCAGGACCAAGAAGCCGCCCACTTTGTTCTGTGACCAAATGCAGGATGAGTGGCGCCCTCTGCTGGTTGCTGTATGTGCCCACCGCTCCTGGAGACTCACTGGCGTCTGCAGGGGGCCTCTCGCCTTCCCAGTGAAATGAAGAAGCCACGCTGATCACCCCACCTCCAAAGAGCATGCAGTGCCTAGCAAACCATTTCCTGGAGGCTCCCCAAGTCACCATGCAAGGCTGAGTCCACCACAGGCTCTTCCTACAGTTTCTGGGGTCCGGGAGGGGCTGGGCTTCTCCGAACCCACTCCCCAGTTTTGCCTGCTCCCCCAGGGGACGTCGGCCTCACACACACAGAGCCAGCTCCAAACCCGTTCGGGGCTGCCTGGTCCCCAGGCCCTCGGGTGGTGGTGGTCGGCCCCAGAGCCACGCAGGCCTCGACGGAGGCCGCACTGTCACATGGGTGTCGCACCTGCAAACGGGTTCCCAGTGCCATCTAAATGGGGCTACGGGGGGTGTCCCAGGTCCCAGGATGCTCACACTGGCTACAAAACTGTTTGAGCCTACAGCCCGGCTAAGGCCTTATGCCCCAACACAAAGCCGTGTCTGTCGTGCATGGCACGGATGCACCCACGCTGCCCAGGAACGCAGGAAGCCTGCCCCTGTGCTCAGAGCTGTAGCTGAGCTGCCCATTTGCTGAGACCCAGTTCACAGGTGCCCATCAATGGCCCAGGGCTCCTCCCACTCCTGTGCGCACAGGCGTGCTGACATGCGATGACACGGTATTGCTTTCCTCTCACCTCTGTTTTTTTTTTTTTGGAGACAGGGTCTTGCTATGTAGTCCAGGCTGGTCTTCAACTCGCTATGTAGCCCAGGCTGGCCTGGAACGTCTGGCAATCTTCATGTCTCAGCCTCCCAAGTGCTGGGATTATAGGTGTGGGCCACCAGGCCGGGCTCCACATCTCTTATTTTTATAGGGTATTGCGCATACCTTATTTTCAGAAGTCTGTGTGTAGTCATGCCTAAGGAGTCAGTTTCATTTCAGAGTAGCAAAAGCGGCCTTCGGAAATATTTGCATGAAGAGAGGAGGGGCTGCTGCTGGGGAGGGTCCCCCCAGGGAGGCCCTGTGTCCCCTGCCCACTCCCCCCGGAGCCGTCTGCCTGCCTCCGTCAGGGTCTCTCCCCTCCTTCTCTGTTTAAACCTGGATCATCGTATCTTTCAAACTGAGAAAGAAAATTCCCAGATGTTGGCATCTGTGTTCTCTGCCTTTCTGCCTAAAGCCCCCCTTTCCATCAGGACAGTGGGGAGGGTCCAACAGTGGGGAGGGACCCCAGAGACCTTGGCGCTTTCTCAGACACCCCATCTCTCCAGGGCACCCCCAGAGCTGTTGGGGCAGCAGGTAAAATCCCTCTGTTCCCTGTACCTGCCCAACCTGGGCAGAGCCCTCAGGAACCCCTGAACCTTCTGAGCTACCCCAGGGTCCAGGAGCTCACCCATCCACGTGCACGGGGTGTGACACGAGGTGGCAGTGGCAGCATGGAGGCCTCCGTGGAGGAACTCAGCCCGGGAAGGGCGGGGGCGGGGGGCGGGTTTCCTCCTTTCCCTGGAAATCCTGGTGCTCGCCTGCCCCAAGGCACAGGGTCTTGGGACCCGGGCCCAGTCATGGCTGCGCATACCCACGTTTAACTCCACCCATGGCTTCTGCCAGCGAAGGGCTGAGCTCATCTTCCCCAGAGTGGGGACTCTCCCTCAGCCCCTTCCCCAGACCTTATCCCAGAGAGGTTCCCTCAGGGATTTGCCCTGGGACCCAGCTCTGGCAAGGTCCAAGCTTGGCCCGGGCAGCTCTAAAACTGACTGACATCAAGCAGGGCTCAGGGTGGCTCAGACAATGAGCTGTGATCCACTAAGTCCAGGGATCATTTTGCTATTGAATACCTTCCTGGTGGGCTTGAAATGGCACCATGTCCAGAACCTGCCTGGGCCCCCTTGCTGCTGGTGGACAGCAGAACTGCAGGCTTCTCTCTTGCAAAACTGCAGCACATAGACCCATGCCTCCAGGGCTCCGTCCCTTGTATGCTGACAGAGCCCCACTAGAGGGCCCCCCAGACACCTACACCTATTCCTCCATGCCGCTGGATGGCCCACCCACCCAAGCCTCGGCCCAGCCAGGAAATTGTCCGACTTCTCCAAGCGTCTGGTAGAGGGCGTGGGTTTCCTTCCACTGTTTCCCAGGAAAGCTTCTGCAGTTCAAATGCAGGCTACTGGTAGGGCCAGAGAGACACCATTTTTTTAAACTCCATTTTAAAAGTCACCTAAATTCATTTACACGTTAGATGAATTCACTCCTCACCCCCTTCCCTCTTAGTTAACCATAACACCCACGAAAGGAGAACAAATCATTACCCTGAGGAACAAATAAATAAATTGGAAAGTAGGCTAGACGTTAAACCACAGTGTTCACCCAATGTCTGCCTGACCGTCAGCTTTTGGGAAAATGACAGATATGTGGCATTCTTGTAAAATTCTTGAAAATGAGGTAATGTGGTTACTACGGAAACCTAAAAGGTATATAAACTGAAGGTAAAGTCCAGTGGAGCCGACATTTTGTTTTCTGACTCTGTCAGAGTGTCAGTTGCCGGCTCCCATAATGCTCTGCTTGTTCCTATATCCGGTCTCTCGTAGGTGCTTTCTCCCTGATAACACTAAGCCACAGTAGCGTCCCTCAGAGAGAAAGGGCTGCTTGGATTCCAGGAGTATTCCAGGGAGGGTGCCAAACCTCGGGACTTCTAGCCAGGTGCAGGGAAGGGAGCTTGGGTGGGGGTCAGTGGTCTCTCTCCCTACCTCGGCCAGGGGTAGGAGAGGATCCAAGTGTGTCCTGTGGCCAACTCCACTGCCCCCCAGACTGCTAAGGCGGTGGGGTGGGGAGAGGTGTGTTTTCTCGGATAGCAATGACGGCATTCCATAAGGATGCCCTGGAGGAGGGGCCCGGGTGGGTGGGAGAAATCTGGGCATTGAGGAGGGGCGGGAGTCTGGGCTACGCAGAGGTCAGGAGAGGGACAAAATGGTCTCGCCTTACACTGTGCCTCCGGAAATGTTCTTCCCATGGGAATGGAATGAAGGGGCCAGGGACCCAGCGGAGCCCTGAATCCTGCCTCCAGCTCAGTGGCCTCGGGCACACAGTCTAATCTTTCTGAGCCTCAGTTTCCTCATCTGCCAAATGGGGCTGATGGTGGCATCTCGGGTCTGAGGATGCTTGGGGGAGACAACACACACAAAGGCACTTGGTGCTCAGCATGGCAGGGGCTGGAGAAGCCCCTCCCCTGCACAATCCTCCCCATTTCCTGGAAACCCCTCTTAGCACCCGCAGCGGAAGCCCAGGTGTTAGGAGGAAGAGACACCCCGGCCCTCGCCAGACCCCGGCCTCCTCCTCCCACCAGGTCTGAGAGCTGGTGCAGCACCCAGAGGCAGAAAGAAGGGACAGCAGACCTCTGAAAATAACGCTGCTTTATTTGATGTGTATCACATTGTTCGTAAATGGCATCTAATGTCAGAAACCAAGTTCAAGTCTGCAAAAAGTGCAGGTACAAATCTAAGGAGACCGAGGCAGAAATGGACAGGGGAGGTGGGGAGGGTGGAGTCGGAAGCTCACGTCCTGGGGTCTGCTCTGGCTCAGGCGCCCTGGCAGGGACGACCGAGGGGCCACACACCCCAGACGGCCCTGGGGGCACTGCACGTAAATATGTATCATGGATGCGGCATGCAGGTTCACCTCTCCCAGCTCGGTCTCCCGCAGCCTGCTTCCCCAGGGAACAGGGCTCATTCTGGACAGTGACCCACCCTGAATTATAAAAACAGACACACGTTGCACTTGAGTGAGATGTTCCCACCGCACACTGACTACAAAGTTACTTGCATTGATTTTTGCTTAGGAAGGAGTAATAGGTAAACAATTCCTCCGCAGATAAACGGTAACAGTGCTCAGATTCCCCGGTGATCAGGCTTTGCCACAATGTCGCCAAGAATGAAAGGAACAGAAAAGGAGGAAAGGTGGCTGCACGTATTAACCCCTCTGCCCTAGCACTGACCTCCTAGCACTGCCCACTCCGGCAGGCAGCATAGGACCCACTTCATCAGAAATTTGGGTGATAGAATGTTTCAGTCCTATTTTATTTTTATTAAGACAGGGTCTTGCTATGTAGCTCAGGCTGGCCTTGAATTCACTATGTAACCCAGGCTGGCCTTGAACTCACTATGTAGCCCAGACTGGCCTCAACTCATGGTGATCCTCCTGCCTCGGCTTCCTCAGTGCTGGGGTTGCTCGTGTGTGCCACCATGCCAGATGAATGTTTCACTCCTATTTTAGTCAGTCCAAGGAATTACCAATATTTATGATGAAGCTCAGAAAGTTGATGTTTCAAAGGTCACGGAACATAAAGAAATGTGAAGGCATCCTAATCAAATAGCTACTGTAGTTCCTAAAATATTTTCAGAAAAATCAAACTGTGGGACCTTTTGGATTCAGTGGCATCCTGACATCTCCAGGAAGAACATGGGGTTCTCAGTGTAGACTCTGTGATTTCCTGCCCTTCCCCTCAGGGCCTGGCGTGTGTCACCCATAGGAGAGGGTGCGAGGAGGGGCCCCCGAGAAGAAGGTGGCCAGGCGACTCCCCAGAAGTGGATGTGCCTGTTGTCCAAGCTCAGTGCCCTCCAGAACACAAAGCTCTCAAAGCTCCAGACATCGCACCTCCCTGCAGTGGCGAGCAGGAAACAAATGCCACCCCCGCCATGGCCCCGGGGAAACCCACGCCAAGGTGCGGCCTGGGCAGTTGCAGAGACCGGCCGGTTCCCTCCTGGATGGCGTCACTCTAGGGAGAGCCTGGGGGCCATCACAGGGTTTGAAGCTCTGTATCCATACGGCTTCCCTGAGATCTCAGGGATGAAAGACAGCCCCACGGAACCCTGGGGAAACAGCCCACATCCCTGCACTGTGTTCTGAATGCTGACCTGAAAGGCCCCCCAGAAAGGGGAGCAGTTTGGACTCCAAAGAGCAAAACAGCACAGGCCCAGCTGTGGCCCCACTGCACTAGGGACACACGGGATCCTTTAGCGCCGTCCTTTCTATCCCTACCCAGAGCCGCACACCCCGAACAGGGATGCCGGGAGCCCGTCTCCGCAGGGGACCTGCCAGACACCAGGTGCCAGCACTGCCACATACAGGGGTGACCAAAATCGATGGTGAGTGTTTAAATTAAAAAAAACCACAAAACTTCCTACAGTGAAAGACACATTGCCAAAGCAAAGGGAGACATGTGGTCCAGGGAGGGGAGCGGTCTGAATATTGTGAGGGGTTTCATGCCATGGAGTGTGGTGTAATACATTTTTAAAATTTAAACATTCAAAACATTTTTGATCTCCAAACACTGATTAACTGGTTATGGCAATTTCTGTCAAACGCAAACAGGACGCCGTGTCCTCATACGCCTTTAGTCACCGGATCTGACACCGCAACTTCCGGCTCTTTCCCACAGTCAAAATGACCATGAGAGGGAAAAGTGTTGAATCCGTTCAGGACACTGAGGCAGCCTGGACAGCGCAACTAGAGACACTCAGGAAAGAGGACCCCAGAGCTGCCGCAGGAAGTGGCAGCAATGATGGGAGCAGTGTGTTGGAAGCGAGGGAGAGGATTTTGAGGGGGACCCACAGCAATGTGTGTTTTACTGTATGTAACAAGTCGTTTTTTTCTTTTTTTAAATGGAAGCATTCACTGTATCGTTGATTGCACCTTGTACGGAGTCCTGGCAGTGGGCAGCCTGGCGAGGGGGCCAGGGAGGGAGAAGCCAGGTGCCAGGGGAACAGAGTGAGCCTGTGCCCCAGGCGCGCATCGTGCTCACCTGCCCCTCCCTGTCACGGGAGGGCGGCAGGGACCATGGCCACACAGCCTTGTGACCTCGCTTGGCCCCTCTCTGGCCCAGGTTCAAGTCCTGGCCTGAGCTGCTGCTGCCTTTCCATTGTGATCACTATGGGGACATCGCCTGGCCAGGGGTGGGGGGCTGGGAACTAGCTGGGACCTGCTCACTGCGACTTTGGGCCACAGAGCGGGGCCGAGAACCGCGTGTCTCAGGGACCAGCACTGTGGATGGGGTGCCCCCTGCTGGGGCCTGAGGGAGGGAGCAGGGCGTTGCAGCAGGGGGCCCGCACACACAGCAGAGGTGTGGGCGCCTAGGGCAAACTCCCAACCTCGAGACAGCTCACCCGAAAAGCTGGCTGTCCTGGAGGGGGGCAGTGACTATCCAGCTGGGGTCAGCGGCCGCCGCGTCAGGAAGGGCGTCCCAAGTGCAGCCTAGACGCCGGCTCGCCTAGCAAAGCTCAGGCCAATCCCTGAAGCACTGGACACTGAGCGCGAGTGCAAAGTTTGATACAAAATATTTTATTAGCGTCTTTACTTCTGAAAAGTATCTAAGCTTCCGTTCATACATTCTGCCTCTCCCGCCCCTGGGCTTCGCTTTCCTTGCCGTCCTGTTCCCATGCAGCTGGCGGGCGTCTGACGAGAGGCCCGGTGGGCTTTGCTCCCACGGGTACCGTCGGCACCACAGGAACTAAAGGAGGGGCAGTTCGCTGTCCTTCTCGGAGGTCAGGGCGGTGAGGGTTGAGGGGCTGCTACGCCACCGAGATGAAGGAGGCCCCACCGACACCTCAGAGCAGTCCACACACATGCACATGCGTGTCTGCACACACCCGTCACGTGTGTGAATATGCAGAGGCACACGTGTGCACAGCTGCGGGCCAGGTGGCCATGCTAGCAAGCTGGGACCAGGCCGAGGCAGGATGGGCCCTCCACGGTGAGAGGCAAGGTGAGCCCCAGGGGACGGCCTTCCCCACACGGCCACCTGTTGGTGACTGCACCAGGAGCTCCTCAACCCCCTCCCCGCCCCAGCTCCGGGCCCTGGGCACACTGCCGCACCTCTCCTCGTCTCAGCATCCCTGGCCATGCGGGGGCAAGCCTGGGAGAGGAGGCTGCTTTCCGGGCAGTGCCCACGAACTCCGTTTCTCCTCTCCCTCAGCAAGTTTCCTTGAAATGCACTCCTTGGGCTGCAGTCTCCTCTGCTAACTCCGGGAGGTCTGAATTTCCACCCTAGAGGAGGGAACCGAGCTCGCTAGCCCCTCGTCCCACGATGACTCAGAAATCAGTGTGGGTGACTGTGTGGACGCTGCCTCAGGTCCAAGGAGAAAGGGTACTACGAAACCAGAACAAAAGGCAAGGAGCACCCAGAAATGCACAGGAGAGCACTGGGACCCGGGTGGCAGTGGAGGGGAGCCGCACCTCGGGGCCTTGTGCACATGGAAAAGGGACCGGGGCTGCCCACGGCAGGCCTCCTGAGGACCCAGGAGAGGGGCAGCAGGCCAGCCTGAGGGGCCACCTCCGCACCATCACCTGCTCAAGTCAGTGTCCTTTAAAAACTCACCCTTGCCGCCCCTCGTACCCCATGATGGGCCTTTTGAGGGGTCCTGGCCAGGCCCTCACTTGTACAGGGTAAGAATAACCTGCTCCCCGTGGAAAGGGGGGTACAAGGAGTGTGGCTTCCGAGGGAAAGGGTTCCTCAAGGGCCGAGGTGCTTTGGAGCCCGGATGTATTTCTGCGGATGGCAGCGAGGGGAAGCTGTCTTCAGAATAGCAATGTGGCTCCCCAGGGCACAGCGCCTGGGGAGGGGGCCACAGACCACAGCCCCACGACACCAAGCCACAGGAAGAGCGAAGGCCGGGGACGGCCTTCCAGTACAGACCTCAACCCAGGCCATCTCTTCGCTCCTGCCAACTGCACGCGCCTCCAGCAATCGCGAAGCAGGCCTTCCTTGCGCATGGCGATTACACTTGAAGTTAAATCAAGACTTTATTTATAAAGGCTAAGTTGGACCCTGGTTAAAAACAGAATCTAAGGCAATCTTCTATTTGTATAGAACAAGCAAGCTTAACAATACATCTTAATATAGATTTCAACTGTTTCTGCTTAAAAAAAAAAAAAAAAAAAAGATCCAGGAGTGAAAAAATAAATAAGAAGAACTCTCTAAGTGATTTTAAAGCCAAATCCACACACACAGTCAACTGTGGACCCTTCCCATCCTGTGTGAGTAGGAAATGAAGGCCTCAGGAACCTCAGAGCCTTGCAGAGCTGAAAATAGCCATGAACGTGAGCCAGGGCGGTATTTACAGAAGGGAAAACTGCGGCTCAGGGGAGACGGCTGATCTGCCACAAGAAGAGTCTTTCAAGGAACACCCTGACACCAGGGTCATGCCGTCCTGGAAGGACGAGGCAACTCTGTTTTCCTAACGGTGACCCGATCTGAACCACCTGCCTCGTCTCGCGGCCCAGGTCCCTCCCGCGGCTCTGGCTGGCCCAAGGCTCCCGGGTCCCGCCTGACAATTCCTCAGTCTCAGCTTCCCAGTGCAGTGGAGGTAGTTGATGCGATCGATGAGCAAAGAACATATTCTTTAAAATTCAACTGGGCGGATATGCACAATTTTTTCTAGGCAAAATGAAGGTGGTCAGAAATTTCGGAGGAAACTATTTTGCATAAAATAGAAGCAGGTGGAAAAGAAAATGGCATGAAAGAGTTGGCCAATTTCATCGGAGCACTGTGGGGGGGGCTCTCAGGGACTCCTGCATTGGTGCAGGCACCGCTGGTGTCGGTGTCGACCCCCCACTCCCCAGGACTTTTCACAGCTTCAGCTGGAAACAAGACAGCTCCAAGATTAGGTCGAATTCCTCTATCTCTGCACACAGTATGTTGTTTACCCTGAACACACCCTCCACAAGAAAGGTACGCTTTCTTAAAATGAGTGACCTTTACCGACTTTTGGTTCTGAAAGTGACTTAGTCAGAAAAGAGACAAACTTTAGAAAGAAAACCAGGAGAAGGAAGCCATAAAACGGGCCATTCCTCACTCAGGCTGTCTGCTCCCCCGCGGGACGGACTCTTCACATGACCCACAGAGAAGGAGTCCTGGTTCCCTGTCCAGGACTCCTGTCACCTCCGCAGTAGGACAGAATTTACCAAGGAAGCCTCTTGTCACCAGCTGTGTCGCAGTTTTAAACGCTGCCCCCATTTGTGGTGTTTTAAATTCTGCATGTAAAAACAAAACAGACCTTTCTACATCGTCCTAGTTAAAGCTAGAAAAGGTAGTGAGAGAACATCCAGCCCAGGCGGGTGGAGAAGCTGAACACAGGACCACACTGACCGGCGAGGCTCCCACGGTGGGGTCAGGGGAGTCCCCGTGTCACCAGACACAGGCGCGCAGCCGCCACTTGGTGGGGCCCTCGGCCGCCACATATAATGTTCCTCCTTCCCGGCACGGCCGTTTTACCTCTCTGCCCGGATTTTGTACCTCAGGACAAAATAGGCAATGAGGCGCAGGGAAATGAAGAAAATCCCCAGCACGATAAAGTCCAGGTAGAGCTTGGCGTTCTCCACGTCCAGCTCCCGCAGGATGGCCTCTGACTTCTGAAAGTGGCACGTCTCATCAATGTCACAGTGCAGGTCTTCTCGGTCCAAGCCATAGATGGATAGGATGACACCCTCGAAGCCATACCTGGGGGGACAGTGCAAGGCATGAGAGGAGGCTTATCTGCTAAAGGCCAGGTTGCGGCGTGCCCCTGGCTCAGCCAGCCTCTTCCTGCCTGCTGTGGGCTAGATCTAGATGTCCTGCAAAGCCCCTGCACTTGTAGGAGGGGCTGCGGACAGGTGACTGGACTCTGAGGGTCACAGCTGACACGCTCTTAGGAGGTGGGGTCTGGAGGAGGGAGGGGGTCACTGGAGGCATGGCCTGGAAGGGCTTCCCCCCGCTTCCTGTTCTCCATGCGATGAGCAGCTCTCTTCAGCCAGGCCCCTCTGCCCTGCTGCCCTGCCTTGGAGACAGCTGACCATGGACCGGAATATCTGAAGCTGTGACCCACAACCAACCTCTCCCTTAAGTTGCAGGTGTCGGCTGTGTTGTCCCAGTGACAAGGGGACTAAAAGCCAAAGAGCTTTCTTTCCTGGTCGCTTCTTCACCTCTCCACATCTCCCTAAGACAGGGGCATCAAACCTACGGCAGGGCCGGGCGTGGTAGTGCATGCCTGTAATCCCAGCACTAGGGAGGCTGAGGCAGGAGGATCACTGCAAGTTCGAGACCAGCCTGGGCTACAAAGTGAGCTCAAGGCCAGCCTGAATTGCATAGCAAGACTCTGTCTCAAAAAGACAAGACAAAACAAAACAAAATCAAACCTACGGCAGGCATGCCACGGTGGGCACGTGGAGCCCTCTTTATCAGAACATGAGCCGAGTCACTCCAGCAGCTGAGAATCTAAGAACAGCTGCTTTTTCTAAACTAACACCTCAGTATTCAGTTTAATTGCAGTGTTGGCCCTATGGGATAAATAAATGGGATTTGGGTTGCAGTTGGGGTACTCGGGCTCTGAAAGGTCCTCTGTAACAGCTGGAAGTAACAGTGGGTGGATGTCCCAGCAGGCACGCAGGAGGGTTTAAATAAAGCACTTGTACACCCTCTCCTTTCTGTGCCAGCCTCGCCTCGGCAGAACCCAGACACCGATTTTCAGAAGGAAGGCCCGGGTCTCCTGTCTTGGTGCTGGAGGGCATAGACCAGCGCAGCCCAGGACCGGAGCTCTGTGTGGCTCTCGTCTGCCTGCTCAATCCACCCGGGTCTCAAGCGACATTCTGGAAAAGCAGTGCTTGTCCCCAGCTCTTGTGCTGCGGGGGCGGGGAGCTGCAGCGTGCAGAGACATTCGGCACGGGGACAAAGCCCGGAGCCTGAGGGCAGCGGGTTCTAGCATACCCTTGTGCCAGGACACTGGGACATTGAAGAGACGGCTTGCTTCCCACTGGATTTCTTATTCAAATTGCACAAAGAGTCAGGGTCTTGTTATGGCGTATTTCATATGAAATGGGGAAACGCTGCCATGTGGGGTAGTCCTGGGACAGCTCCCCTGGGTGACAGTGCGGTGCCCAAGAGTAGGGAGAAAATAAAAGGTGCAGACACCCCTGTCCACATCCACCCTAGCGGGAGGCCAGGCAGCAGCTTGTGTGTGCGCTGGCCCCAAGCACCGTGCCCCTCTGCCCTGCGGGGCCCCCAGCTACCTGACATAGGAGATGTAGGACATCCACTGCAGGTACGTGGGGATGGTGTCGAAGCTGACGAAGAACCCGGAGAACAGGAGGACCGGGATGGCTGTCACGGGACCCACGAATGTCGCCACCTGGGTGGGGCAGGAACACAAGCAGACCTTGCTGGAGGGGGTGGGCCAGCCCCACTCAACCTTCTGCTCAGGCGGCCATGGGGCAGGCGCTGTCTGCTGTGAGACACAGTCCTGGGCAGGGCAGCCGTGAGCACTCGCCTAGCAGGCTCCCTCCAGCTGCAGGAGGAGGAGACTGCCCTCCCGACCACCCTGGCAACAGGCTCCTCCCACAGGTCAGGCACGAAGCCTTCTCCGGGAAGTCTGAACCTCAGGCAGGAGGACGGGGGTGGGGTCTCGGCACCTGGCGGGAACCACGCACCTGCAGGGATGTGGAGGCGGCGCCGATCAGCAGGCCCAGCGACTGCGCCACAAGCGAGGTCAGGGTGCCCAGCGCCGCGAAGAGCACGAAGCGCACGGCGTCGGACGGCTGGGACGTCATCCAGTACACGATGCTGCAGTAGGCCACGGGGAACAGGATCTGGGGACACAGAGCCCGTCAGCCCCGCCCCCGCACCGCGACCCTGCTCCCGGAAGCCCCCGGGTCCGCCCCCCTCCAAGAGCGCGGCCGCGCACCTGGAAGGGGACGTCGGCCATGGTCTTGGCCAGGTAGTAGGCCTTCAGGCTGTACCAGTAGTTCAGGTGCTCTCGCAGGAAGACGCCCATCTCCAGGGGAACTAGAGCGGGAGCAGAGGGGGGTCAGCACACTCCATAGGCAGGCGGCATGGGTGTGCCCTCACTGCCTGCCAGGAGACATGGGCAGGGCAGCCGGGAGGCTCACGGTGAGTGCCTGCCTTGAAGACCCGAGGCCTGGTCCCATCCCCAGCACCAGCAAAAGCCTGAGTAACCCAGTTCCGGCCTGCACTGCAGCAGGGTCTCAGAACACCCGAACACTTGGTCTGAATGAAAAGGTGATGTGCTTCCTCTTCTGATAAGAATCTGGAGAGGTGAGCCTGGAGGGGCTCGCCTGTCATTCCAGCACTCTGGCAGGCTGAGGCAGGAGAATCCTAAGTTTGAGCCCAGCCTGGGTGATTTAGTGATTCAGTGAGACCCTGTCTCAAAATTTGAAAAAAGTAAAGGACTGGCAGTGAAGCTCAGTGTGAAGACGCTGAGTTCAATTCCCAGGACTGAAAAAATAAAAACAAACAAAAACAAAGCCAGTGCAACCAAAACATGACCACAGACAGGCCGCTGGGAGGTGGGGATGATGGGGCTTGCATGTGCCCCAGCCGGCCGGCAGAACTAGGGGCTGCTGCTTCGGAAGGCTTGCAAACCGTCCCTCTGCCTGCCCTCACCAGGCCGGACAATCTTCCCTGGGTGTACATGTTGTATTTTCTCATCTGACATCAAACACAGCAAAACCCGCTTTGTCAACATATAGGAGGGAACTGGAAAACTGTGTCCGGGAAGCCCGTCTGCTGGGAGACGCGGCCCCGCCCCGCCCCGCCCGAGCCCATGCGCTCACTCACAGGTCAGCACGGTGGGCATGAGGGCGGCGAACATCAGGAACAGCATGGAGAAGAACAGGAAGCCGGAGTTGCTCAGGACCTTCTTGGCCTCGTTGCCGATGCCCAGGTAGAGCAGGCCGATGAGGAGGCCGATGCCGATGTGCGAGGTGATGCGCAGGTGCGTGAGGACCTGGGGTGGACGCGGCTCTTACCTGGGCGCCTGTGTGTGCAGGGCCGGGCCGAGCAGGGTCGGGGAGGAGCAACCCCTACTCCTGTCCCTGCCAATCTCAGGCTGTGCCTTCGCAGGCAGGCACTCGTGCAAAACTATACCATGTACACAGGCACACGCACATGTGTGTGTGCACGGCACGCTCTCGGTGCTGCTAAAGCCAAAGCCGTTGCTATCTTTCACGGAGCTGTCTCCAACACTGGGGAACAGGGGAGGTGTCCCCCAGGACAGGCAGCGGGCACATCAGCGGCCGCACTGCGGGCTCCACCCCGGGTTGGGATGAGCCCTCGTAGGAGCGTGAGCCTTTCAGCTTCGGTCCCTGAGGCCACCCGGACACCCACTCTCGCAGGCCGGAGGCTGGGCTGTCCAGTAAAGCGTGGCACTGCTGGGGGACCCTGGTGCCAGTCTCTGAAAGGCCAGGGCTGCGTCCCAGGCAGATGTTCCTCTACCCCAGTCCCAACCCAGCCCCAGGCCGCTCCACAGGCCGCACCGGGGGTGCTTGTTACAGGGCCGGGCACCGAGCTGATGCTGGGAAGGGAGGACGGGACGAGAGGTGGGAGGTCCCGGCGGCCTTACCGAGTCCCGCATGATGCTCAGGAAGGTCCTCTTGAAGAGGATGCAGAACTGCGTGAGGCAGCTGGCAGAGAAGCTGTGGCAGCCTTCCATGGAGGCCGAGTCCTGGGCATGGAGAGGGGGCGGTGAGGCTCCCGCCTGGCGTCCTCCGCGCGCAGACAGTGCCCGTGCAGCGGGCACAAGGCCCGGCGAGCCGCTGTCCTGGGGCCGGGGCTGCATTACCTTTCTGAACCCCTTTAATGGTTTTGGCTGCTTTACCTCTTCAGAGGGCCGGTGCCAAAGGAAGGGGTTCACCTCGGCCTCGCCCGCAAGGTCTCTCTTGTAGTCCGCGTCGCACATGCCCTCCCGCACGGCTCGCACCAGGCGGCCGTTCTGGTCGCCGTACTCGCCGGATGCCACCTCCATGACTGCAGGGACAGAGGAGGCATCGGGCCGGACTCCAAGGAGACAACCCTGGCGGCTTCTGGCGCCAGAGCCTCCGGGCACTTGCCCCCCGCCCCAGGTCCATGCCCTCCGGCCCCTGCCCTTCCCCAAGGACGCTAGGGGCCATCTGCTCTCCGGGTCTTCCCAGCTGGTCCCCACCTGCTCAGTAGCACCTGTAGCACTGGTCCCTTCTCTCCCACGGACAAAGGCACAGCTGTCAGTGGGAACTTCCTATGGCTCTGAAGTGTGCCCAGGCCCCGCCTGCATCTCTCCTCCCTCCCCATCCCAGCCCCTCCTTGTGAGTGAGAAGCACTCCCAGCTGGGTGCAGTGGTGCACACTGCACACGTCATTTTGGCCCTCTGGAAGGCTGATGCAGGAGGATCTCAAGTTCCAGCCCAGCCTGGGCAATTTAGAGACCTAGTGAGACCCTTCTCAAAATTAAAAAGGGGCTGGAGATGGAGCTCGCTGTGAAAGCCCTGGGTTCAATCCTCAATCCTCAGTACAGTAAAAAAAAAAAAAAGCACCCCCCAGAAACATACTGCGTGAACACAATTTGGGAAATGAGAGTATAAAACGTGGGATTTTGGGGGCGTGTCCCCCCAGGTTTTACAGAATCGCAGTGCACTGAGGAGGGTTGGTGGCAGGAAGGCCATCGGGGACACCCACGTGAGTCTGAGGGGCCTGGGCCTCGGGCAGGGTCTTTGAGGGGCCTAGTCCTGGGTCCCGAGGTGAGCTTTTCCGGGCTGCCCCCAAACCCGGTGACTGCTGCCCCCGCCAGGACAGAGGACCCGGGGCAGAGGACGGCTGCGTGTGAAGGGAATGCCCTTCCTCCCTTCTTCACGCTGTCTGGGGCGCACTTGCGCAAACCCCCGCCAGCGGCAGAGCCACTCGGAGCCCACGGAGCCGGGAAAGGCTGGCCCTCGTCCTCACCGAAGTCCGCGGGGTTGTGGTAGGTGGGGCAGTTCAGGCCCAAGTCCCGCAGGTAGGGCACGAGGTTGGAGACCTTCCCCCGGTACACGCACTGCCCTTGACTCAGCACGTACAGCTGGGGGTGCAGAAAGACACGCGTCACCTCCGGCCTCGCTCAGTAAGGCACGGGAGCTCCTGCTCCCTCAGTCAGTCAGTCAGTCAGTCAGTCAGTCCATCCATGGGCCGGTCAGACACTGGGGAACCCGCAGAGGCATGAGGACCCAGGTCTGGTGTTCCCAGGTCAGGCCCAGCCTGGCGGGCATCTGGGGCAGGGGGCAGGTGGAAGTCCGGGCGGAGGTCTGGGGGGACCCGTGGCCACGTACCTGGTCAAAGAGCTCGAAGAGCTTGGCGCTGGGCTGGTGGATGGTGCAGACGATGGAGCGGCCGCCCTGCGCCAGCCCTTTCATCAGTGACACCACTTGGAAGCAGGACGCGCTGTCCAGGCCGCTGCAGATCAAGGGTGCCGTGAGATAGGACGTGGCCCGGGGTCCCTGCTGCCCATCCCGCCCTCTACACGGAGGACCCCAGCAAGCCTGTGCAGGGACTCCCAGGGATGGCGCGGGGTCCCAGCGGCCTTGGCGGGTGGGGCCGTCTTTTACGGTGGGGACCCGACCCATCCCACCCGGGCTGCAGTGGGGGCGTCTGGGGGACTGGCAGCTGCACTATTTCTGAACATCCGGCTTCTCACAGTGGCTCTGGCAGGCCCTGAGGACCTCTCTTCCTCTCCCCTTTCTACCCCACGCCCCCGCATCTGCCCCTCACTTCAAGCCACTGGGCAAAGAGATGAGTGTGGGCCAGAGCCCTGCTGAGCTCGCTGTGCCAGGGCAGTCAGCACTGACCGGGAAGGAAGGGAGGAAGCAAGGAGGGAGGAAGGACCCTCTTTATTTGTAGTACCGGGATTGAACCCAGGCCTTTGTACTGGGCTACATTCCCAGCCTTCTATTAATTTTTATTTTGAGACAGCGTCTTACTAAGTTACTAAATTGTCCAGAGTAGACTCAAACTTGCAATCCTCCTGCCTCAGCCTCCCAGAGTGCTGAGATGACAGGTGTGCACCGCCACAGCCAGCCACCCAGAGGCACTCTTAAGGGTTCACTTCAGTCACTCTTTCTAAAATATCTTTACAGAGCCTCCCATGCACCGAGTGCTGGGCCGGGCGGAGGGCCACAGAAGAGGCGGAAGCTGCACGGGTGAGCGGTCGGGCAGGGGCAGAGGAGGGAGGCCGAGCCGCTGAGGAGCAGGCAGTACCGCCCCGGTCTGAACGTGGGTGGCACCAAGTGTAGGCGGTGCCCGCAGGATGGGTGCTGGGGCTCGGTCCAGGCCATGGAGCACATCTATTTAATCTCACATACCGGCTCCTTGAGGCAGAGGCCAAGTTGGGGTGTCGACAGTGGAAGCTGTGCTCCCGAAACTGGAATCTAAACCCCACAATGCCCTTTGTGTCCAAAGATGACCGCTACACCAGCACGATGCAGAAGCTGCAACAAAACTGGGTGTTGCACAGCACACTTTGGGGGTACCACTAGGACTGTAACCTGAGCCCTCTCAAGGTGAGTGGGCTAAAGCTGATGCCCGGGCGTGTCCAGAATGGGGGACACGTGGGGGGCACTGGCCTCTCAGGCAGCTGTGCCACAGGGAACCTGCTGTCCAGGAAGAGGTGGGCACAGTGCAGGGACGTTTCCCCAGTCCGTGTCTCCATGGTCAGGGGATACACATCTGTCATCCCAGCACTCTGAGAGGCTGAGGCAGGAGGATCACAGGTTCAAGCCCAGCCTGGGCAAAGACTTCACAAGATCTTGTCTCAAAAAATAAATTAGGGGCTGGGGATTTAGCTCAGCGGCAAAAGCGCCTGCCTGGCAAGCG